ATATGTGGACCCCAGTGCCTATAGTTGACCTTCTACCGAAAATATCAGTCAATCCACAAAGAAATCTCAAACGAGTATACTATTTGACTTTGCGAGAGTATAAAATGTTCGGTTACATCCGAACTTAGTCCTTCCTTACTTGTTTTTTTTATTTTTCGTTTTGAAATTGTTAACTGATATAAACTAATTTTATTGAATTTGCTTTGTGAAGATTTTTTTTGGGATAAAATTAAATTTTTAAAAAATATATATTTTAGAATATCTCAGTATTTTTGATATAAATAAGCTGTATATAATTTATAAACTTAGGTTAAGTTATACTGGCTGGCTGTCACGCCATACATAGACCTACAAGTCACACGATTTTCAATGTCAAATTAAGATTTGAAAATTAGTAGCGTTCGTACACCTGCGTGTTGACTAGATCTTCCAGTGATTCCTCACTGCATCCAGTCCACTATCCACATTTTTTGCATAGTAGCTTATTGGTGGTCAGATGCTTGGCTAGTAGTTTTCTAACCCTAGCTACCTCAGTAGACTTTTCTAACTTGCCGCAGGAGCTCTTTTACGGCTCCCTTTTAGTTATGCAAATATCTTGTTTTTTATTCTTTAAGTACATCTTTATATTTCCTCCAGCAGTACTCTTCATCGGCTATCTTGACTTGTTTGAAGAGTTCCTTAACACTTCGCCTACGTGATCTGAGCTTCCTGTTCCACCAAGGCGGCTTCGAACTGCGCTTTGTATGTGATGAAGGGTATGCGATGTGATACGCTTTATTGAGAATGTTTGTTAGTGTGATTATCCCTTCCTCCAGTTCAGAGATTGAGTTACAAACCTCGAGTCTAGTTAAATTCCCTGTTACTATCTTTCTGTCAAATCCCAGTTAGTGTTCTTAGGGTTTCTGAAAGTTTTTCTCTTATTGTGGGCCAAGAATTTTAATTAAAATCAAACATAGCTATGATCAGAAAACGAGGGTGTATTGATTATTAGCTAGTCTGTAGTGTTACATCGAGAACGTACTTTGAGGTAGGCCCCATATATAATACGTTGATTCAACAACTATAGGACTTTGTATTAGTAATTCAGATTTGTTGAAAATAAACCTTTTTACATTTATTATTATTATTTATGGAAAGCACAGATTTTATTTAAAGATTAACACGCGACTTAACTCATATATTTGTTGGGATAAAACGAAAACAGTTTAATTGCCATGTGTTTAAAATTTATGTGCACTGTATCTTTTAATCTAAAACACATTTAAGCGTGCAAATTTAATGATATTGTTGCAAGTGAATAACTTATGTATAATGGAAATATTAATTACTAGGAATTTATTAAATTTTTGCGAATACCCTAAGGGTTTCAGTACCAAACCACTAATTTTATTTCCCTATAACTATTAGTGTTGTAGCGGGGTTTCATTAAGTGCTCAGTTTTAATTAATACTTGAAAGTTATGTTTCTTTCTAATTGGGAATAAGTGGAAATATATTTAATAATTTATTATAACTTTTCTATAAAAAAAATATATATAAATTTAGCATAAATTAGCTTAAGTTTACTTAAGAGATAATTTTGTGTTGTGTTTTGCTTCTACCTATGTTTAGTAGTCAAAAGTTTTGTATTAAGACAAAGTAAACATAACTTAAGTGCACACATTTTAACTAAACATCAAAGTGCGTTTATTGTCTTACTTCGATTTAAGCTCTTTTTCCATACTGTCACCAATAATTTTTTTTTCTAATATATCAGACATATATACTCATCTAACTCCACACATTCTTAATATTTTAATAAAGTTGCAAATTTGCAAAAATGATGTGCTAAAACCATCTAATTAACATTCAATTAACATCTTGTCACTTTTTATTAGCAGTGAATGTATCGCAAATTATTAAACATTTAGCAAGTCGAGCGTGAGAATTGAACAAGTTTTTGGCATTAAATATTGAAGATAGAAATTAAAAAAAAAAAATAAAAATAAACGCCTAAGTTGATAGATTGAAATCGATTCTAAACCGAATAAGTTATGAGTTACTCTTAATTACTCCATAAAAAAATGTATACTCTTTTCTGATTTAGTATTTTTTCTAAAGCCTGATATATAGTGTGTCAGTATACAAAGTGACGAAAACATAATACAATTTATATTTAAATTTATATTATTGTATACATTTTTTTTCGATTCCTCTCATCTCCCTTTTTAACAACACCACTATACGACCAATAATAATGTGTTACTTGATATGCAAAATTTAAATTCACCTCTAATAAGAATATTTAATAAAATTCATTTCATAGAATAAAATATTTCTTTGGAACATATAATAACGTTAATAAGTAGTTACGTTAATTCATATAATCACCACTAATTACGAGTAACTAACAGAGAATTGTAAGTATGTGGTAAATTACACTGTAAGATGAAATCTGATATTACCCACTTTCATAATATGGCTGTTTTAAAGGAAAACATTTCTTGACCCTTTCTTAAAAAAATATGAACTCTCTAGATTATGCCTTTTAAAGATTTTCCCATTTTCGAACTTAATTTCGAATTATCTTACGGAACACTTTATCTGGGTACTTTTTACAATAGCAATCTTCCCTGCAACTAAGAAACTATAAAGTCTAATAGGTGAGTTGGGTTTGTGGGGCTCCGAAGAGCTTATTAGTGAGAGTTAAACGTTAGCTTCGGTAGCATTGAAGCTATAATACTCTTCACATTTTCATTTCTTATATCAATTGTATGTACAATATAACTAAATTGTTTGCATTCAACGGAAAAACTTTAGCCACTTTATATATATTTATATAATTTTAGGGTTTCCGATGTTTCTCTCTGGGTGTTTCTCTCTGAATATATTATTTATAGTTAAAAAAAGTTTAGAGCTATAGCACTACTAGAAACTTTTCAAACAACCAGTATGTAATCAAGTATCTAATGCTCTAATATTATATCTTAATTGTACCTACAAGTTCTAAATATTAATTGCTTAAGATGCAAATTAATGAAGAATAACATGCAAGTCATACGGTGATGCTTGGAACGTGACACAAATAAAATATCTTGAGAAACATTACTTTTCGCTTATTATCACCCCATATCAACATCTATCATGATAGCGACACTTTAATTGCAATTTTATTGTAATCTTCATTCAACGAGTGATTCTCTTTCTTTTCCATACCCATATGTGCTCTCAAACGGCTCTCATTATATTCTCAGCGCCCTTTGCTTATTTAATTGATTCAATCGAGGTCCGCGTCGTCTATTTACATATTTGGCCGGCCCTGCAACTTGTTTGTGGATGCTATGTTGATTTTGTTGTTGGCTTTGGGGATGATGGCGCGTTCGGCGAGTATGTCACTGAAACTGACCGCACACGTGTTAGTTTATAATTGTTGTTGTCTTCACACTTTCTTGTTTTAACCGGTTCACGCCGGTAGATCCGCTGGCATCCGGACGTTAACCAGTTAAATTTGCTTAAATCTCGATGAGCAGTTATTGATTATTATTTCTGCGCAGAAGCCAGTCGCGGTCTTTTAACAAGCTGCAACACTTACAATTACTACTTGGGAAATGCTTTGCTTGCTGGGCTGGCTTTACACTGTTACACTGCAAGCTTGTATCTAGCCAATAATGAGAATATATTAAGATGTGTGCTCACTCATTTAGATTTATTGCTAATTGAGTGGGCGTAGAACGTAATAATATTATTTATTATGCTAATATGTTTAAGTAATATTATTTTGAAGAGCGTAAATATGTTCGTAAACGACTTTGTAATTTATTTTCACTAAGCGCAGATAGGAGTTGAGATCTGAAACTAATCTTAAAATAATTAGGTTTAGACTTAATGATTTTGAATGAAATAAGAGAGTAAAGAGTTCGCCGACATTTGTCAAACAAAGGAATACATCTTTTTACTTTTTGGTTAGTATTTAGATCTTTTTTGAAATTTGCTCTCCTCGAGATACCGTGGAATTTGTTACAGTACTTTCGCGAACAGAAAAGGTTCACAATTGAGCCGGTTATGACGTAGCGTTAGGTTAGGTTAGGTAGGGTTGGTTCTAATCGATGGATCTGACTAGGACAGATGTTAGTAAATTGTGTTACCCTTAAACTCGTAAAAGTGGATCACCATATCCTCATAGATCTATGAATTGTACATGTCTATTGTACAGTGTCCAGTGAGGACACTTAAAATTGCGGCGAGATTGACTTTTCTATGGTCAAGTAGTTCGGAAGACCTCTTACGGTTTACTTTGGGACATACGGATTTCGCAGTAGCACAAGTTCTGGTTGTTGGCCAGAGCTTGCTAAGCTCACTGGAGGTCCATATGTCCAGCGCTTCAAGTCTCTTGGTATATATTTCAGAAGTTTACCAAATTTACCAGTTTTCCAATAATTAAGTTTTTAAAAGTTTGCAAAATACATGGTTTAGATATTTGTACCTACCCAAATTCTTTCGATGTTAGTCTGGAATTACAAGGCAGCACAAAACTTACAGTAAGTTGCTCATTAAATTTTTACAGAAGCTTCCCTAAAACATGTTAAAATGTTAAATCTTCATATCATTATCTTTAGGAAATTTTAATAAATACCAAAAATTTTCGGGATCCCGAAAACAAATTTCGTGAATCCCGAAAATTTGTGATGTAATACGAAATCGAATGAATTACTTTTAGAACATATACACTTTATTCATTGTCAATGGCAATTTTCCTATTGAACTTGACTCTTTTAGAGCCAAATACAAACAGCTCTTAATTAAGAAATAACAAAGCGTAGTGTAAGTTTCCGCCATGCCACAGACTTGTGTGTCTTAATAAATTCTCGTACATAAATGGCATAGTGTCAACAGTACTACACAATTGTGTCACAAATAAATTATTACTTATTTACGCTCATATATGAAAACAAACGCTTGTAGCCCACACTTCCAGCAAACCAATTATATTTTATTGATTTTATACAAAAATGTTAATTGCAGATTATTAACTAATTGTAAACTCATCATAAACTTGCAACGGAGATGTAAATAATTCGCCCCCACCAATAAAAGAAATTAATTGAAAGCGTAAAGTTTCTAAAAAAAAAAAAAACGAAATACATACTGGCATACGAATATATGCATATACATCACGAGTATTATAAATTAATCTTCAGACTACGCACGAACAAGTTCCTGATATTTAAAAAATACACAAAAATACCAAAAGTTTTTAAAATGTCCTCACCAATGGCCACTTTGTTGAAACTCTTGTTCCTTTGCGCCTTAGCGCATAGCAGCAATACGTTGGCAGTACCGGATAATAATGCTCAAAGATATCAACAACCGCCTGCGATCAGCCCCACAGCCGCTGAGAAAATGGTGCAGTCCTTTCCACCATATTTACTCGTACGCGGCGATTCCACATTTGCCCCGTCAGACGACGCACTCTCCACTTTGGATGCAACAGACTCGGCGGAAAGACAGAACTTCGATGCGGCCGCGCAAATGTTAATGGCAATGTATAACGAGCAAATAGAAGGGATAGAGAGCACTGAGGAAATTGAGCAATGCAACAATCCTTCACATAAAGCTGCTTTTTCCGGTTACGATTATGCGATACTGCTCTCTATGTTGATTATATCGCTCGGTATTGGCGTTTTTTATGGCTTCTTCCACAAATCGGGCAGCTCATCAGAGGATTTTTTGCTCGGCTCGGGTATGTCTATATTTCCGGTTACATTAAGTTTGACCACGAGTTTCATCACGGCCATCGAATTATTGGGAAACCCATCGGAGATGTATTTACAGGGCACGCAATTTGTTTTGATTGGTGAGCATGAATGAAAAAAATGTCGGTACAATAAAATTAACTGTACATTTTTTCTCTTTATAGTTATTCCAATGATTATGGTCATACCGGTTGCTGTTAAAATATTCTATCCTATCTATTTCAAAATGGAACTGACGAGCTGTTATGAATATCTTGGTATACGTTTCGGAAAGGAGATACGCATTTTGGGAGCCGTTTTGTACGTCATACAGGTAAGGGCCCAAAGTTTTGCTTGATTTCATTAACGTCTTGAATTATCTGCATGGAGAAAAAGAAAAATAGTAGGATACATCCGTTAAAAAATGGGCACTGTATTTATCAGTAACCTCAAAATTGTTTTTAAGTATTTTCTGTATGTTCCAAACCATGTTATCTTTTAGAGAAAGTTTAAGACTACCCAGTTAACGTAAAAATGTTCCCCAAAACACTGAAAAATATATGAGCCGACTGTTATTTTTTATGTCAAGAACCGAGATAGTGGCAACAGATTTACTTATGTGTACTCTCTAGATGTGATTAAGGAAGATAAAGATACTATTACAGACCTTTCCACCATCGTCTAGATGTCACCAGTATATTAGATTAGATTATTGAAGGAGAAAATTCTTGTTTAAATTTTGGAATCTTAAAACACCAATAGTAGTAGCCACTAATAGATAGGGATAGAATAGGATCTGATTGATCATTTTGGAAACATCTCTTTTCCGAAGGTCGGCTTTTCAGCATAATGTATAAGTCTGAACCGCTTTTATATATCAGAAACAATAGCAATATTAATAAACTTGGAAGCGTTTCTTTCTCTGGTAATCGGTTATATATTAGTCTGAACAATTCCGATAAGCTCTTTTGGTGTCGTACTCATATAGCATGTCCTTGTATCTTTCACAGATGTGTTTCTACACAGCCGTAGCAGTACTCGCACCAGCGATCGCGCTCTCTAAAGCCACAGGCTTAAACACAAAAGTTGCTGTGATTTTAATTTATTTAGTCTGTGTCTTCTACTCCTCTCAAGGTGGGATGAAGGCGGTGGTAATTGCCGATACTTTTCAGGTATGATCATAACACATGATCTGTTAATATACAGATACTAAAGCTGAATTACGTTATAAATCAAATTGTAGGCTGCTGTTTTGGCTGTTTCTTTGGTGCTAGTCATTGCTTTGGGCAGTTATTATAGCGGTAATGCTATTCAGATCTTTAACACGGCAGCTGATCGTCATCGCCTCGAGTTTTTCAAGTAAGTTGCATGCGATCAACCAACTACAAGTATAAAAGTTAATTGTTCTATTCAATATTTATAGCTTTGATTTCGATCCCACAACGCGTCACACAGTTTGGTCCGTGGTGATTGGTGGTTTCTTTTATTGGACCTCCTTATTCTGCACTAATCAGGCATCGGTGCAGAAGTGTATGTCATTGAAATCGCTAAAGTTGGCAAAAGTGGCCTTGGGCTTTGCTATACTCGGCCTCGTTATAGTATTTCTCATGAACTTCTACACCGGTCTGATGATCTTCAACCATTACGCTGATTGTGATCCACTAAACGCCGGCCGTATCACCGCCTCCGATCAACTATTGCCCTTCTACATTATTAGCACCTACGAAGAGATCTACACGATTGCTGGCATTTTTGTAGCGGGTATCTTTGCGGCCAGCTTGGGCACTGTGGCGTCCGCATTGAATTCGCTCTCTGCGGTGACGTGTGAGGATCTGCTCGTGAATGGCATGAATATCAAAATCACAGCAGACAAGGGTGCACTCTACGCCAAATGGATGTCTTTGGGTTATGGCATCATATCATTCGGTTTGGTTTTCATCGTAGAGAAGTTGGGTGGTGTGCTGCAGGCGACTCTAACGTTGAATGGCCTCATCGGTGGCGTCACTTTGGGTCTCTTCGTGCTCGGCATTGCTTTTAAGCGCGCCAATACACGGGGTGCTTTCTATGGCGGATTGCTCTCATTAGCCATTGTCATTTTCATTGGTGTGATGGCGCAAATTGTCAATGTGGATCCGGTTGAACTACCCTTGTCGGTCGCGCAGTGCGATTGCAAAGTAAATACCTCGTCGGTGTTTTTGCCGACAACGGTGGAGGCAATGCCGCTAACGGGATTTAGGTAATTGTTTTTGTAATGCAATATTATTATTTGTGTTTTATACAATTATTTTTTCCAAATAATAGCTCCTGGCCAATCTTTAAGCTCAGTTACATGTGGTACTCGATGATAGGCACTTTGCTCACCATATTTCTGGGCTTGCTCATCTCGCTCATTGTTGCTGCCGTGCAACGGCATAATGTGCTTAAGATAAGCTCTACGCGCGAGGAACAAGTTTGTAGTAAACCAGAGACCCCACCACAATTCAGCACTGAGATCAAAGTGATCGCCAAGTCGGAGCCCACAGCCGCCGAGAAGCCAGAAGGCCATGTAAATCTGGCCATACGTTTGGACGATGAATAAATGGATTACACCAAAGACCTGAATTTTCGAGAAGTACAACCTTGAGGCTTATGAAAGTTGATAACATTACATTTTGACAAAAGATTTGTGTACCAAACGTTAAAATAACGTTGCGTTATGTACAAATTATTTTCAACAGACTTACCACATTGCAACTAAGTACTTGTTATTAATTAATCATAATCTATATATCTTTCAATTTTTAAATGATTACAATGCAAAATGTAATAATTAAATACAACCAGTCATTAATTTAGTATAATGAAAGTATATCCATATATGTATATAAGTTTGTAGAGAAGTAGTATTTAGAAAATAGTATAAGTCTAAAGACGAAACGAATTGAGACAAAAGTGATAAATGTAATTAAACGTTGCACAAAACAAATAATTGGTTAAAGTACAAAATAATTATTAATTTTTATGGTATTTTTTAAAGTATTCAATACACATTGTAATTGTATTCTATTTATAGTCACAAATAATAAAAAAGCTAATATTATTTCACAAATAACTGTAAATATGAATGCAACCGTGTGATGCGACATCATTGATCCTGTTAACTATTTGTTTACGCTCTGCTTGAATATCTACAATTATTTGAAATGACATTAATTACAATCTCTGATAAGAAATACTGTGTGCGAATTGCTTTTTTTTATAAAACCTATATATTCATATAGACATACATATATGTATATATAGCGACATATAAATGTAAAAATGTACAAAATAATAGCTGTAATGAAAAAATGAATAAATTATTATATAATATAGTAAATATTTGTTTAACTTGTCACACTCATTCATTGAGCTTTTGTTGTGGAACATGCGAGTAGTATTTTTAGTTAGTTCCCGTGCGTGATGCTTTAAGCTAATTACAAATATTACAACTTTACTAAATAAAAAAATAAAATATAAATAATGTGCCTATTATACATTAATTTGGAAGTATAACTATATACTATTACCATATGCACGTATGTATAAATTGAAAACAAGTAAGAAAGAGGTACAAGTTCGGTAATGACAAGTTGCACCGAACTTGTAAACTTTCGTTTCGAAAATACCAATTTACTCTCAAGAGTATTTTAACATATTACCTCTATAACTATATACGTATTAGTACCATTACATATGGTACATCTTTTCGATTACAACATGTAGATCCAGGCGTTTTCTATTGTTTTCAATCAAATATGTTTTCTTGCATTTCTTGAAAGTATGGCTATTCGTTGCTGCTGATATTATTTAACACTACAGAAAGTATTTTAAATTGAAATATTGGCATCCGTGGAAGATATCTCATCTCAACTGGCTGAAGGCTGGACAATCGCAAAGGTAATGTTCTAGCGTCTCATAGCGCACATGCTCTGTATTCTATCGATTCCTATTTAACAAGTTTTATAAGGTGTGAGCTTCGGGGTAAATAACGTGGGATGGCCCTTACAATGGTAGGTATAACATATCTAGGGATTATATGATCACCGAAGACCATGAATACAAAAAGGGCTTTAAGGGTAAAAATAAAAAGATGCAAAAAATTATTTTATATGACCTTAAATGTAGGTCAATAGACATAGCTGATACGCTAAAGATATCGAGGGAATATCGTTCATAAATATTTATCTGTGCGAAGTGGCTACGCGAGCTCATAAACCGGATAAGGCACCGTGCCACAAATGAACATAAAATATATATGGTATATAAATATGAATGAGTTTCTTTCCAGCGATTTTTTCGGCGAAATCGAAGTCATCCAACTTTCGAAAAGTTGGCAATATATAAAGTGCCCAATATATGTATTGAGATGTGTTTATTTGTGAGGTTGCTCCATCTTGCAATATCCAGAGCGTTCACAAATATCATTAGTACGAGTGTATGGTGTCATGTTGTTTTAAGTACTTAGATCTATACAATGTTTCATTCTAGTGTTATGTACAAAAAATACAATTTCAAACGCTCCGACTATATTTCCTCCACGAACTCTTATAAAATTTTAAAAAGGAATCAATGTTTAGTACAATCTGTAGATTAGATTCATAACCATATCCATTTTCTTCTTAAACAGTTTTGAGTAACTTGCTAGAGTGATTTTGTTTAGGAGACTTCAATTTGTGTAGTTTCTATCAGAGCCAGACTGTTCATTGAACGAAGCATTAACATAAGTTAATATTGTCACTATGATCTCATTCCATAACAAGCTAGCTCACTTAGTAGTAAAAAGCGTTAATTTACACCTTCTCGGAAATTTTTATAAGTGAATGAAATAAGAAGAATACGATAAGTTGGTTCTAATTTCTAATAAGTTCTTTCAAATCATTTTTAGATGTTTCGAAACATTATTGGTCTCATCGCCGAGGGATATATCACTCGGAAATCTATGAATAAACTATTTAAGAACTTTATATTAGCGTGGAGGAAATTCGAGTTGTATCACATCATTATGTATTCATATGCTAATAAATAATACGAATTAAATTTTCAAAAAAAAAATGAGGAAAAGTAAGTTATCACGGAATGGTAGATGAAATTTTTCCCACATAAAAAAAAACGAGATCTTGAGTAAAGTTATATTACCATAGTATACGTCACCAAACGTCGGACTCTTAATACCTGGTTTCAAATATATTCTATAGAAAATGTAATTTCATAGCAAATTCAAAACTAAGTGAGAACGAACTACAACAGAGATTGCGTTGTAGAATAGATTCTATACTATGACATTGTATTACTGGGATATTCTAACGTTAGCGCTACTTTAAATTTATGCAGCATACTTTTAGGCACAAAATTCAGATCGTCTGTTTCTGTTTGAGACAGTAGCACATTATGCAGTTGTATACTAAAGATATATTATTATTTTAAGAAAATAACATATACTCGTACATAGTTGTCCCCCACATGGCTGGTAGCTGTTTGAGAGAGGTTTTTCATCCATATCATTTCAGCTTGCCTGGTATGTAATGCATGACTTAGAGGTACCTATGATTTTTAAGCCTCTTACTTATTTTTTCATGGCTTTAATACCTTTCATACTCAAAATAAGTCCGATCTGCCAAAGGGGGAGGGTTATTGGAAATTGCGATTTTCTTTTTGTGACTAAAAATAAAAATTTTTTTTTGTTTAATTTTTCGTTTATTTGCAATTTAAATTCGAAAGTATACTTAATTATAATTTATTTGAGACTCACACTGGATAATACAAATGAACATATTTATTTTAAAAATAATTACATTTTTTAAATAAATCCTATAATATTACAATTACACATACAATATTTTACATTCTTCGAAAACTTAGTTTTTTAATATAAATTATGTGAATATTTACACGCAAATATAGAAATACCTATTTATATTTATCACCATGTTTGCCATTTAATGTGGTCACGTTACACTGATCTCTTCGTCACTATCCGAATTGGAATCATCGTAGTCGTCGTAGTACATCTTCATGAATTCGGGATTTTGGAAAGGCGGCATCGTATGCGCGTTAATGTGGGAATGCGACGAAGTTGTTATAGGCGAACCCGGTAAGAGCACCCCATTGCTGGTGCTCGTGTGCTGGTGGTGGTTGTGTGAAACCTGCATATGCGGACTCAAAGCCTCACTCATGAAAAGGCCGCCGGGATGTGCGGCAGAGTGCAGTTGCAAAGCATGCTGCTCATTGCCGCCAGCGACAGCCACAGCACCTGCCAGATTCAGCATGTTGATGCGTCGTTGTTTCGCTTCGTTGATGGTCGATTCCAATTTGAATTTGAGATCTGCGGCGGCCAAATGTTTTTGCATTTCCGCATTGATTTTCGCTTGAAACTCGGCGCTCGACAACGGTGGCATGCCAACGTTGCCGCCAATACCACTACCACCATTACCGCAAGCACCAAGCATCATGCCGGCACCGGTATGTGGTGGTGAGGAAGCCGCCGATGAGGAGGCGTTCGATGATTGATCGTTGAGATTGACATTCAGTTTGGCGGCGACGGTCAGCAAAGGTGGCGGTGAACTCATTTGCATACTCGGCGCTGAACTGAAGGCGACCGCGGCGGCAGCGGCGGCCACCGCTACACTATTGGGTATGTGATGCATTAGCGGTGGTGAGTGTAATGCAGCAGCACTAGCGGAGGGCGTGCCGGTCGGCGATTGCATAGACTTGGGTGTAGTTGCACCGTTGTGTGTTGGTGTGTCAGCATTGGCGCGCTCCTCTTTTGGTTGTGGTGAGAGACTGTTTGTAGGCGGTGATGGCGGCGTCGGTGATAGCGGTGAGATGGGACGATCACATTTCGCATCGGACAAATCGGGATTGGGGTTGTTCTTGTTGGGTAATGTCTGATCACGTGAGCCACCGCTCGCGAGTAATTCGCGCTCCTTGGAGTTGCGCCATTTCATGCGGCGATTTTGAAACCAAATTTTTACCTAAAAAAAGATGAAAGGAAAATTTCGGATTAAATAATTTTGATTGATTAGTTACATATGTCTATGAAATGGATAAGTATTTTAGTGGGAAAATTAAATTGTAGCGTCAAAGTATCAAAATGCATGTCACGTTAGCTCAAAAGGGAACTAAAACTGTCCAAAACAGGTCAGAACTCTAACAAAATGCAAACGTTACGGAAGGAACGTTTGGGTTGGAGATTTTATACTATACATTGATACAATGAAAATTTCAAAAGAACTTACACTACAAAAAATTGCTAGTAATTTTCAGAAATTTTACTTTGTTTTATTATGGTGTTGAAAACTGCATTGGATTTAAAAGAAGTAAATTGGATGATATCAAATATTTAGACAAGTGGTTTTTAATAAGGCAATACTTATTGCGGATCTCTGGTAACTGCGAAGCAGATGAAGTAGCCAGAACAGGCACCACTGAAAATGAAAAGAAGAGGCTGTAAAACTTCTTCTATGCGCATGTAAGGCTCTATACAGGAAAAGAATCACAACTATCGGTCGAGGGTTCCTAGACGATGTATCGGAAGTTGCTACTTAACTTTATCAGAAGCACATTTTGGTTCAGAGAGGCGACAATAGAGTGAGGGAACATTAGTTCCGGTGGTATCACAATCACAATATGCCTCTTATAGGTCTAGGTGCGTCGTCAGACAGCCACTCTATCTACCTACCCTACCTATTTTGGAGTTGGCTTTTGTGACAGCTGTTACTTGATTTATACTCAGTTTGGACTATTTTTTATTGGGTTATGTGAAGTCGCTTGTCTACGAAGATAAGCCCGAAACAATTGACGCCTTCAAAGCGAATATTCTGCGCAATATTGTTGACATATCACCCTAATTGCTGCTCTATCGAAAATATCAGCCGAAAATACAGGTAAATATCTGACCTAGTCTACAATTCAACACTAATTAGTTTTAGCTTGCAATCAACTTCTAAAATCCTTCCTTCTGTTCGGACATCATTAATATCATCAACGGGTAATGTAAGGGAATGGAAATCCAGATAATATTACAAAATTTTTCAAACATTTCACTCATCTAGTTTCTGTTTTTTTCAGTGCATCATGCTAAAGTTTTCCGTTAACATTGCTCTGCAACAGCTCCGCATTTATTGGGCCGAGCTTTTATGGCCGCCTGCCATACGCAGACATAAATAAAATTCGTATTAAAAATGCAAATAGAGGAAGTTTTATTTTCAGCCAACAAGAATTTATAGAGACATTAAGCAACATCATGGGTTAGAGTTATCCCAACAATAATACAAAAACAACAATAGCAACAGCAACAGCAACAGCAATATAAGTTTAAAACTGTAATTGAATGCATATTTAGAGCGAGCAGCGGCGGGTGGTTGCTGGTTCAAGTGTTGCATGTGGCGTCAGCGGCCGCCCGGCTAAACTTTTTCGGCAAACTTGCTTCGGTCGAAGTGTTGCAGCCCTTCCTGACTCTGGAGGGCGTTAAGTTGTGTACT